AAGAGGCTCCATTGAAGAACATTTCCATGATGGAAGGGATATATTTTGTATTGGGAGATGGGAACTTTACGAATCGATAGGGATTTGGTGCACACCATTTCTTCTGAGAAAATATTCTCCTTCCATGCACAACATCCTGCCTCAGGAAAAGAGAAGTTAACATTCCTAGGCATAGTTGGAATCCAACTGGTTGGGAAGGCCCAGAGAGGAGATTGCTTGTCAAATAGGAAACAAAATGATGGTGGGGAGGGCAGCGGGGTTGAATTGGGCTGAAAAGGAAAATATCTACTCTGGAGTAATTCTTCTATCCTCATTATCTCCCAGGAATTGATTCTTTCTAAGAGTAAGGACAGTAAAAAAAAAAAAAAAAAAAAAAAAAGGCATGAGGCAGAAAGCGAAGGGAAAGTCTGAAGATAATTCATTATTTTTTTTTAATTCAGCCACTATGAAATTGCAGTTATTCTCCTAAGGAAGACAAATTGTTTTTCAAGTCTATTGTGGGAAGTGTCTATGCATACACACATGGATACATGCATATATACATACACACATCAATACATACATGCATACACACACACACGCACACACACATATATATATGATAAAGACACACATCTAAAAGAGGAAATCTTAGTGGTTTGGACAGGTGAAACAGAAATCCCACAGCTCATGCTGATCATACTTCAGAGAACCAAGGTTTTCTATTCAGTACTAAAGTGGACATTAAAAAGAGCATTGGTTCTTATATTTATCTGTGTTCAAACTACAAAGACACATTTTACTTCCACTACTTACCAGTGGTATGCCCTTAGGCAAATCACTGAACACATCTGTAACACAGTTTTTCATTTGTTAAATTAGCAGGTCAGACTAGAAGGAAAAGAGAAAACTGAGGGAGGTGGGGATGGGCTAGCTGTCTTCAAGCATTTGAAGATGTATTATGTGACAGAACAATTAGGTTTGTGCTGGGCCCCAGAGCATCAGTAAGTGTAAGCTGCAAAGAGGCAAATTCAGGTTTGATGTCAGGAAACACTTTCTCACAATTAGGGCTAACCAGAAGGGGAATGCCCTAGAAAAGGATGGGTCCCTCCCAATTGGGGGAGGCCAAAAAGAAAGGCTGGACAACATTTGATCTAGATGTCCTCAGATGTCACCTCCAACTCTAAATCATGTGTTTCTATGATTCTGTGACCTCAGTGGCCATCTAATCTAAGCCACTCCTGGAAGAAAAAAAACTTTCTACAATGTACTTACCCAGTGGTTACCCAGACCCTGTCTGAAGATTGCCAACAAAAGAGAAACCCACCATGTCTCCAGAAAATTCATTCATTTTTGATAGCTCTGATTACTAGAAATTTTTATTTAAATCAAGCATAAATTTACCTCTTTTTACTTATTTCTGCCTTTTAGGACCAATCAAAACAAAAGAATACTAAAGAGGTTGGGTTGATATGAAGAGAAATTTCCTAAGAATTGGATTTTCCCCAGTGAGAAGGGCTGCCTGATGAGATACTGAATTCCTCATCACTGAAAGCCATCTAACCTCTGCTTGAAATCTTATCTATAGTTGCTTGTACTATTGCTATCCATCCTTTAAGGGATAATTCAAATGCTATGTTTTACATGAACTCTTTTAGCCCAACCACTGAACTGAAAATCTTTTCTCCAAGATTGCCAATAATCACTTAATAGTTTAACGATGATCTTTTCCCCATCCTTTTTCTTCATCTCTTTATATCTTGTGACAGTCTTCATGAAGTCATTCTACACTCTTCAATCTACCTCATCCCCTTTATGCCATATAGTCACATCTTTTGATTCTACTTCCACAACATTTTTCTCATTTGTTCGCTTCTCTATATGTACACAGCCATCACTCTAATTCTTGCCCACATCATCTCTCAAGTGGACTATTGCAATAGCCTCCTAATTAGTTTTCCTGTGCCCAATCTCCTCCTTCTCCCATCTGCCTCCACATGGCTGCCATATTGATATTCATCAACCATGAGTCTGACAATATCGCTCTCCTGCTCTACAAACTTCAATGATTCTCTAGTGCTCCTAAGATGAAATACAAATTCCTCTGTTTGGCATTTACATCTCTGATAGTTTGGTTTCAGTCTATATTTCCAGGCTTAATTCATATTTATATGCTATACACACTCTACATTCCAGTCAACTGTCATACTTGCTGTTTTGCATACATGAAATTTCATCTCCTACCTAGTTATTAGAGTTACACAGACACAGACACACACACACACACACACACAAATTACTTCACTTATTTTGCATGTAATTTATATTATATATGTACACATTGCTTCCCTTCAGCAGAATGTAAGCTCCTTGAGGGCAAGAACTTTTTTTTGCATTTGTATATTTGGTGCCTAGCACAGTGTCCAGCACATATTAGGGCTGAATAAAAGCTTGTTTAATTGTTGAATTTTTAAAAAAATGACCTTTGTAGGCTAGATCAATGGGCCAAATCTAATTAGCTAAAATTCAGTAGAGAGAGGTATAAAGTTTTACACTTGGGATCAAAAAATCAGCTTCACAAGTTCAAGATGGGAAAATCATCTAAACACAATAATTTGTTTGAAAAAGAACTCTGAGTATTGGTTGATTGAAAGTTCTATGTGATAATACAACCCAAATAGTGATTCTACCTTATGTCTCAAATTAGGGAGGTGATGGTCCCACTGTCCTCTACTATGACCAGACCGTATAGAAAATACTGCTTGGTTTTGGTGCCACAGTTTGAGAAGGACACTGATTAGTTAGGTAGAATCCAGAGGATGGTGAAGAGTTTCAAGATGATCACATATGAAGGATAGTTAAAGGAATTGGGAATGCTTAGCCTAAAGAAGGAGAAACAAACATTTGAAGGGCTAGCCAGTGGAAGATGGATTAGATTCATTCTGCATGACCCCAGAAAGCAGCACTAAGAAAGAAAGTGTGGAAATTGTAAAGATGCAAATTTAGGCGTAATATAAAGAAAAACTTTCTATTAATTAGAGCTATCCAAAAGTGGAATGGGCTTCTTCAATGAACTCTCATTGGAAGTCTTCAAACCAAGTCTGGATGACCACTTGAAGGTTTATATGCAGAAAGGATTTTGGGTAAGGTATGGATTAGAATAATTGGCCTTTGAGGTCCCTTCAGTAAAGAATTTAAAAGCCTGGGTGGTTAGTTTCTGGCCATATATGTTTATCATAAAGAAGGAACTTGGAACAACGAATTGAGGAGGAAGAGAAGAATCCCTTGCCTAGTTCCATCTGGACTTTTACCACATTATATTCACTTGACTAGAAGATCCAAAGAATCTTGGGAGAGAAAAACTCAGGGGCCTGAAAATTAGATAGCCCTTGCCAGTTTGTTGAATAGCTACTTCTAAGAATAATATTAAATGAGTGTGGGTTATCAATCAGAAATTGACAGAAGTTAAAAGAGACTTTCTAGCCATAAGCCTAATACTTGAGATAAAGATAATATTCATGGAAAACAAAAGGAAATAAGATTTGGGAAAATATTGAATTCCTATGGTCTCTCTAATTTGACCAATCTATATTTCTGAAAAACTTGATACCTAGAAACATACTCTTCTTCCAAAGAGGAAAAACCACCTACAATTAAGATTCTGAGAACTGATATTTATCTTTTTTGTTTTGGGAGGAAAAAGAAACTGAAAAGTTTTCCTTCTGTGATATTGGATGTATGAAGGACCTTCATCATTAAAACAGTTTATTTATGCCATAGGGATCTAAGCTAAAAGAGAGATGGGAGAATCTATTTTTCCTCTTATGGGAAAGAGGTAGCACTCCAGCTAAAGTCAGAAGCCAGAAGTAGAGAGGTTCTATAATCACATGCTCAGTTGAGCAATTCCTCTCAAAAATACAAGATCAGTGGAGAACCACAATACAGAGAATACTGTCCAATCTTGTAGGGGTGGGTGCAGTGCAAAAATATCACCAGAAGACAACAGCAGCAAGCTGTTCCTCCAAGCATATTACTTGGACAAATGGACTTCCATCTATGTATGTACCATAAGCATTACTGCTCTCCCACTCATTTTTGTGTTAGTGTGTGTATATGTGTGTGTGTGTGTGTGTGACATCACATTTGTGAATTAATGTATCCCATGTTTGTGGAAGAAATGTTTTACTGCTACTTTTTGCCTTACGCTATTTCGTTAAATAACCTTGTCTTGAACCAATTATATCCTTTGTCTGATTCACTAAAGTAAATGCATTAGCATAGGCTCCCAAGTTATGTTGTTGCTTTGTTTTTGTTTTTTAGTGGATATGGACCAACTGAGTACCTTGAACCAGAAGCTGATATCCCCCATACACACATGGGGTCACTTGAAAGAATAAGTTGACTTAGATGATACACTTCTGACTTGGAGATTCTGTGAATCTATGAAAAGGCTTCTATGTAATGACTTTCTCCTTTTTGGAAGTAATCTAAGTTCTAGAAGGATAACCACTTATTAGAGGTATTGTAAAGGAGATTATCAGTCAAATTTTTTGCTGGATTACACTTACAACTGTGAGGTTTTGTGATTCTGTGAAATATCATATTATCATTAATTTCATTTTATTATACTTGTGCTGAAAAACAGTGTGCATAAAGGTACAATTTGCAAATATGTCTACTCCAAAAAAGAGAGAAAAAGTGCAAAGGAAATAAGTCATTTATTATAATGTTTTCCTTAACCCAGTCATATAAAGCCTTTTCCAAACAAAATGATCTCATAAGTCACTATATCTAAAAGAATTCTCTTATTGGTTCCAAGGCATTCTAAAACAGCAGAATATGATGGTTGAAGTTCTCTTAAGAAGCCACAATATGTCTCGTTCCATCACCAATACATGAAGCAGAATATTTTTAAAAATTATATATAGAGATATATCATAAAATGACAAGAAATCACAAGAGCAAGAAGGTGATGGCTCAGAATTGTGAGGCTGTTGGGACATTTTAGGAATCACATTGTCTTAATTCTCAGCACTAAAAGCCTTCTTCTCTCATATGCAAGGCAAAGTTTTATTACAGTGATATGAATCCATAGTGTGTAACTTTATATATACACATAAGTCCTGGAAATTCTGTTCTGGCTTTGGTGATGCTCTGTAAGAATAGAAAGAGAAAAAGAGAGAGAGAGAAAGAAAGAGAGAGAGAGAGAGAGAGAGAGAGAGAGAGAGAGAGAGAGAGAGAGAACCTTATGAGTCTGCTACAAACTGGAGCCACACACTTTGCTATGTGGGATTTTCCTCAGCCACTGGAGAAGCAATGAATGACATAGATTTTACACTTATGAGAATTGCCTTAATCAGTTGAGGGACAGAAGGTGATTCTAATGACTGCCAGAATTTGGATGTTGTTGAAAGGAGAAGCACTTGACTCTATGCCTCTTCTCTGTCCTTCACTTTGGAAACCAAGCATTTGGGCAAATGCCAAAAAATAAACACTGTAAAATGTGTTCATAACTCCCTACATTGTTCCAGTTTTGATCCTAACTCAAGGTTATGAGTCAGGATTTTAGGGTTCATTCTAGATCAAATTGGTCTTTGAGGCCACACTATTGGTACAAAGGCTCTAGGAGGATGTCAGTTCTAGAGCCAGTCAATGTGTCTAGTATATTCTGGCATGGGTTAAAAACCTTTTTTTTTTCTCTCTGTGCTCTCTGGGTTTACTAGATTCTGGACTTAGATTTCTTAATTTTGGACAAAACAAATTGACTCTCCACAGTAAGGCAGAGGAATTCTGGCCCCGACAATCTTTTTCTGCGTGTATGGTAGGTAGTTCAAGGCCTGTCTCTGGCAATACAACCTTGGACAAGTCAAATAACCTTTTTTTTGGGCAATTGGGGTTAAGTGACTTGTCCAGGGTCACACAGCTAGTAAGTGTCAAGTGTTTGATCTGAGGTCGGATTTGAACTCAGGTCATCCTGACTTCAGGGCCAGTGCTCTATCCACTGCACCACCTAGCGGCCCCATCAAATAAACTTTCTTTACTTTAAATATCTCTCTAACATGGTGGATGGGAGTTGCTAATATGCATTGATGGAGGGAGTTTCCACACCAGGAATTCCACCAAAGAAATCACATGTCTAGACTCTCAAAATTTATACATCTATTTATTCTGATGGGTTTCTGAGGAGTTACAAATTTATATTGAGCTTTGGAGCAGAGATTATTTACTTCTTTACTTGGGGACAGATCCTCCTTTCCCCCGCAACCCACCTTCCTCCTTATTCAATCATCTTCAAGTGTAATGAGTCCAGAGATCAAGTTAAAACTGTGTCCTCATTCTCAAGGTCTGCCCTCTATCTAAACTCAAGCTCTAGGAGTCTTTTTCCTATTTTCCCAAGGCCTGTGTGCTATAAAAAGTGAAGATGTTTTTTAGGAATTGAGATTTGTTCTAGAACCTTACCTAAAAGGATAGGAAGAGCCATCTATCCATTTCCATTCATTACTTTCTCTTTGGTAAGAGATGCCAATCCAGTTATCATTTAATGTAAACTTTTTCATGGAATCCTGTGATGAATCAGAATGCACAACTTACAATGGTTTCTTGGAACAGATAAAGGCATAATACAGCAATGAAAACAACAGTGCACATCTATATAATACTTTTAAGGTATATTTAAGTTCTTTCTTTGCAACAACTCTGTAAGGTAGGTATTTCAAATTTTATTACTATGTTTTTTAGGTTGGATAACTGAAGTTCAAATAAATTTACTTGGGCCAAGGTTACACAATTAGTAAGTGTGAGTCAGGACTTAAGCTCAGTTTTTATGATTATATTGAGCTGAGTGAAATGGTGTAGACTTATGATCCCTGTTACCAGGGAAATTGATGCTTGTAGTTGGCTTGAGATCAAAAGTTCAGAGCTATAGTAGGGTAAGTCAATAGGGTGTCCGCACTAAGTTCAGCATCAATATGGTGAGCCCCCAAGAGCACAAGGCTACCTAAGGAGTGGTGAACCAGACCAGGTCCAAAACAAAGCAGGTCAAAGCTTCTGACTGACCAGGAATCAATGGGGTTGGCCTATGAGGAGCCCCTGTGCTTCCAACCTGGGTGAGCCAGGGAGACCCAGTCCACAGAAATAAATAAAACTGTGTTTTATATATGTTCCACTTTAAAAATGAGTTCAGGAAAAAGTTTTCAGAGTTATTTCTATCACATTTCAAGAAGATGGATGAAATTAAGTCTATTAGATGCAAATAATTTGGAGAGACATCTCCAAACATTGTCTAACATCATCTGGATTCCCATGGGTGGGTAAGAACTCCATCCTGATCTTCCCTTCCGCAGCAAAAGCTCCTTTCTTTTCCTACTCGCTCTCCTTCTTGCTCATTTGTCTATCTCTTCTCTCTCTACAAGTCAATCATTCCCTTGATTATTGCCTTTTGCAGTTAAACCTCACTTTTCAAAATGAAAAGGCATCCTCCTTACCACTAGCATATCATTTCCTGATTGTAAAAATGTAGAATTCATGGAGACACAAAGATTAGAACAATTAAACCAAGACACAGCCTTGAGAGTTTGGTGGTAGCAATTATTGTTTCAGACAAGGTGCAGAATAGTTTCCCAGAGGAAAAAAAATGGGCTAAATCAGAGGTTTATAGAATTAATGTATTAATGGTCAAGAGGCAGTGGGACATAGATCTCTTACTCTTAAAAAAACCTCATCCCCAAGAGTCTCCCCAGTGAAATAACATTATTTTCTTATATGTACCTGTAATAGAATGGGACTGTGATTTCAGTCATCAAGTATGAACATCTTTCATCCCAAATTACCTTGGTTCATCTTCTTCAATTTCAGAATGCCAAAGAGCTTTTCAATCTGGATTTTAAGATTCCCTAAAATGTCTATCAGGGACATATCAAAAATTTTAAAAATCAGATAAAAATACAAATTTCCCTTGTGCTCTGTGCACAATGCAACATCTAAAAGATAAAAATTATCATACTCTAAAATGGCCAAGTCAGTTTGTTTTGCCTTTCTCAAAAAAACAAGAAATTTATCGCTGTAATGATCAGTTATTTAAAATATCAGATATTAAAAGACTTTAACATGGTTACTTTATAATTACATATACACGTAAGTAATAAATATTTGGGCAAACATTTAATTTAAATAATACATAGAAAAATTGGATTGAAGTCCTGTCTCTGACTCCTACTGATTCTGGAAAAGTCTCTTAGTTTCTTAGTGCCTAAGGCAAGACTGTGAGCTGCAGAGCAAATGCAGGTATGAATCCATAGGAGTTTCTCCTTTAGGAACCCCACACCTAACAAAGGTCTGCTCCTCCTCCCTCCCCTCATTGAGACACTCAAATATTTGGTAATTGATTCTATATAATTCAGCAAATACAGATGAAGGTACTACTATGTGCAATTTTGGGAGCAGAGTTCCAAATTGCTTTCCAGAATGGCTGGACCAGTTCACAGCTCCACCAACAATCCATTTATGTACTTATTTTCCTATATTCCTTCTAGCATTTGTCATTTTTCCTTTTCCATCATCTTAACCACTCTCATGTGTATAAGGTTTTTTAATTTCTCAGAGTTTTTAAACTTATATTTATTCAAGTACTAATGATTTAGAGCCTTTTTTAAATGACTATAGTTTTGATTTCTCCCTCTGAAAATTACCTCTTTTACATCCTCTAACCATTTATCAATTAGGGAACAACTCTTAGTATTATAAATCTATCTTAGTTTCCTACGTATTTGAGAAATGAGACCCTAACACAGAGGTGGGGAACCTGCAGCATCGAGGCCACATATGGCCTTCAGGGCCACACTTGAGGACCTAGAGAGCCACATGTGTCTTCAAGGCCACAGGCTCCCCACCCCTGCACCTAATCAGAGAAATTTGAAGCTAAGATTTCCCCCATTTCCTGCTTTTCTTATAATTTTAGCTACATTGGTTTCATTTGTGCAAAAAGTTTATTTAAATATTTTTTCAAGTGCATATCAGAGGTGTAAACAAATTTCTTTATGCAGCCTAAGGGAGGAAAGGACATCACTAGCTGGAGGTATCAAAAAAAAAAGTTCACAGAAGACATATCATTTGAGTTTAATTTTAAAGGAAAGTTAAAAATTCAATAAACAATAGGCAGAGAATTACTGAAGGAACTCTAAAGCTCTGAGGAGAGATCAAATTCCAATCCCCAAGTTACCCTCTTGTATTTTCTTCATTGTTCCAGTGAAGTTTTCTACTTTGTTGAGGAAAAACTCCAGTTCTTTGGTGAGGTCATCCATCTTTCTAGCTGATTGCTGGATATTTTGAAAATCTAAACACCAATATAAAATCCATACATATGATTGATTATTTACAGTACAAATTCTTGCTTTACAATACAGAGGTATCTGGTGAGAGGAAGTAGGTGCCAACATATCACTAACAAAGAACTACATGAAAGGAGACCACAAAGGATATCATGAGAGAGATATGGATAGGAAATTTAAAGTTATAGATTCATTACATGAAATTGCCCATCTCTCCTCCACCTAGTATAACAAGTACTCTAGTTAGGTAATCTGGTAAATATATGACTTATATTATATTATATTTATTGTATACAGTACATAATATTATACTATGTTAGGAAATGTATTTATTATATATTTTCTCTATTCTTTTTCCTTCTCTTCCTCCTTCTCTCTCTTTTTCATTGTCATCATCATCATGTGCAGAAGAGTAAATTCTATAATATCCCTTGTTAAACAATCTCAGTATTTAAAAAAACTCAGTCTGGCCTTTTAAAAAAAGTTAACTACAATACTAGTGACTTCTGTTTCACGTATTTTTCATTGATTCTGTCTTGTTATCCTTGGTAAACTAATGGTCACTATTGCTTAAAAATTAAAATTAGCTTTTCGATAATTGAGCAATATGAGAATCTTGGGCTTATTTATGGATAATTCCTGCTCTTTATGTTGCTCTGAAACACTTACATTGGTAACCAAAGAATCCAGATGTTTTCATCAACAGTAGGCTAGGGATCCCCAGAATCACTGCAATGACTGCCCATGGAGAAAAGGTAGCAGGAACATCTAACAGAGATAAGTGAAGAAATATTAGAGACGATGTGAATTCCTGCCTTATGAATGAATAAAGCAATTTTTTTAAAAAAATTGTCTATCTCAAATTGTCCAAAGTTTGAAAGTGACTTACTGAGCAAATGGAGGAAAAAAGATAGAGGCTTGTGGGTAAAGTTTTTTTGTTTTTGTTCTGTTATTTTTGGCAGAGGGTGGAAGCAGAGACAGGAACTTCATTTGCTGTACATTCTGACTTTAAGATATCCTTATAATTCACACATGACTTAATAGAGGATAAAATTTTATGGATCAAAGAAACCTTAGAGATCACCAAATATATGGCAGCACAATAAAGGGGAAGTACACCAATTTGGTATCAGAGAACTTGGATTCAAATCCTTCTCAGGATGCTTTTATGTTCATAACCCTGGACAATACCAATGCCTGGACAATACTTAACCTCCTTGGACCTCAGTTTCCTTATCTGTAAAAATTAGGGACACACAGAGTAGCATACTCCTGTAATCTCTGCTACCATGGAATCTGAGTCTGGTGGAGTTTTTGAGCTCAGGAGTTCTGAGCTGCAGCCAGCTAAGCCAATCTGTTTTCCTTACAAAGTCCAGTGCTAATGTGGTAAGCTCCCAGGAACTACCTAAGGAAGAATGAAGTGGCCCAGGGTGGAAATGGAACAAGTCATCACTCCAATGCCAATAAATAGTGGGTCCAGGCGCATGAATAGCCACTGCACGTCTAGTTTAGGAGAACTAGAGAGACTCAGTCTAAAAAAATTAGGGAGGGGAACTAGATGGTCTCTTTCAGTTTTAAATCTATGATGTTAAGAATCACAGAATTTCAGAGTTGGAGGGGTCTTCAGAACTTTCTAGTCTGAACCAACCACGTCTCCTACCCCCACCAAATCTACTACCACAATGTCTTCCCAAGGTGGTCCCCTAAACTGAATATAGTACTCCAGATGTTCTCTGAATGGGTCAGAGTGCTGTGGAAACCCTCTCATTTCACCAGTGAGGAAACTAATGCCCAGAGAAAGTTAAAACATGGTTTACAAAGCTTAGCAAAGTTGAAGCTGGAACCCAGGTTTTCTCAATCCTGGTACAGTTCTCTTTCACTATAGCTTATACCTATTTACTGCCAGGAAAATTACCTACAGTAAGGTTTCAATGATTATTTACTTAATTATTGACATTTCCATGATTTATGTGGATTTCTGTGGTTGTCCCAATTGAGTAATGACATGTGTGCATATATATACATACACATATACACACATTTGTTGAAATAACTTAGAAGAGAGAGTACAAATGTTCATACACAAATATTTATTTTGAGGACTTCTTGTGACTCACAAAGTATTTTACTTTGGTTACAAATTTTTTAGCCACCAGTGAACACATTCATGAATTAATTCAGTGCTAACAAAAAGTCTATTATGTCCAATAGTTCTATAGATATTTTTTCACAATATACAATACCTTCATGCACAAATAGAAAAGTTTATCTTTTCTAGCATACTTGTAAATATTAATTCCCTAATAATATAAGGAATCATGGTATAAGCAACCATGCAGAGAAATCTGGTCATAAAATGTGACGACTTAATGAAATAAACAAATGTTTTCAAACATTTGTTAAACAAGCCAAAGAATGTGTGAGCAAGATGCCTAAATCCTTTTGGGAGAGGCAGACTTTCTCAGAATTGAATCCACTCCAAATAGTGAACTTGGGTACAGGAAAAAAAAGAGGGGGGGCATGGTATCCCTAGTGTCTTGGGCACAGCTGTGCAATTCCTCAATATTTGGAATGGGATCTCAAAGAAGTAGAAATCTTCAAATAAAATTCTACCTTGAAATTAACAGTGTCCCAGATCAAATGTGCTTCATGAGTCACTGTGCTCTTCGCTATCAAAGAGGCAGAAGCACTGGGAGAGTTGTTAAAAAAAAAAAAAGATTGGAAAAATAGGATCTTCTGCTAATTGTTTCTGACTCAAACATTTGATCACACCCTACAAACAGATGCATTGAACTTTCTCATTGGTGTTCTAACCTCAGAACCTGTTGCATTTGCTTTGACCTGGTAAGTCCAGACCACACAGAAAGCCTCAGATGCAGAGATCACTGCCCTTACTGTTGAGTTCAATAGGAAGGCCCTTTTTTTTTTACAATATTCAGTGCAACCCTCACAAGGCTCTCCTCACCAAAGGTAAGGAGCAAAGCCATAGCAATTGAAGTAGCAAGAGAATCTGCTCCCAACTATAGTGTTGTGTATAAAGTACTTGGTTTGGCAGCAGTGAGACCTGGATTCAAATCCTGCCTCTGATATTTACTAGCCATATGACCATGGGCAAGTCAATTCATTTCTCTGAACCTTAGCTTTCCCAATTGTAACATCAATATAATAATACTGGCAAAATCTTCCCATTGGGGTCGTTGGGAGGCTATGGTGAAATAGATGACAAAACATGAAAATACTGTATAAAATGCCAACCCTTATTATTTCCATTTTTCAGGCATAGACTTCAGAGATGTCAGGAAGAGAAAGTAGAGAAAATATTTTGTGCAACTTTTAATGGCTATATAATCGGGCTTAAAGAGCTATCCAGTGAGTGCAGAGTCTTTAAGGCATGCTTGGATTTATTCTTTCTAGTGGGGCATACAGAACATAAACACTTATTCTCTGTCTGATTCCAATCTAAGATGTTGGAGACTCATTCAATGAGTCACTGAATGGCTGGTACCATGTGATAATGATGAGTCTTCTGATTGCTTCAGAGTAGGAGGAGTGGGGAGAAGACATAGAGAGAGATACATTTCAGCTTAATATAAGGGAAAACATTTATAATAATCATAACTACCCATCAATAGAATGCCTACCTTACAAGATGCCAAGTTCTCCATCACTAAATCTATCTAAGGTGTAAAGGGAATTATTTTTTTGACAGGGGGTGTTAATATTTTCTTTTTTCCAATTACTTGTAAAAGCAATTTTAACGTTCTTTTTTCAAATTTTGAGTTCCAAATTCTCTTCTTCTCTCATCTTCCCTCCTCATTGAGAAGGCAAGCAATTTTGTGCAAAACATATTTCCATGTACGTCATGTTGTAAAAGAAAACACAGACAAAAAAACCAAGGAAAATAAAGAAAGTTAAAAAAGAATCTTCAATCTGCATTCAGGATCCTTCAGTTCTTTTTCTAGAGACGGACAATTCAACTATAAAGGTAATTCTTGAATTAGGTGAGATATTGAACTGGATGGTTTCTAAAGTTACTTCCCAAGGGAGTGGCTTCAGAAAGACCTGAGAAGACTTATGTAAACTGATGCAAAGTGAAGTAAACAGAACCAGGACAATAATATACACTGTAACAGCAATATCATAATGCTGATGAACTATGAAAGACTTAGTAGCTGTGATCAATACAATCATCTACAATAGTTCCAAAAGACTCCTGATGGAAAATGCTACCCACCTCCAGATAGAGAATTGATAAACTATGGGTGCAAATGAAAGCATATTTTTTTCTCTTTGTTTAAAGTCAAATCAATAAATCTACAAAGAAAAAAATCAACTTCTTAAAACTCTGCTTCTTCCTTCATGACTACAGCCTGATGAGGGAGAATTTATGCATCAATACTCTGGCAGAATGAAATGGCATCACTTCTGGCAGAATAAAATCTAATGAAAATCAATTAAATTCATTTGGTATTCCAAATTGACAAATAGTATTTTCATTCACTAGAGGGGCCAAGGGTACTCGTGTACTTCCATTACAATCCAATCCAAATCTAGTTCCAAATTATTCAGTAGAGAAATTTTTTCATTCAAATCTGCCAATATGACAAGTATCTGTTTCCCCTTCCACTACCTGAAAGCTATGGTCAAAAACAAAAGCCTAGACATCTTATTTCAAGAAATTATAAAGGAAAATTGTCCTGATATCTTAAATGCAAAAGATAAAGTAGAAATCGAAAGAATCCACCAAATCACCTTTTAAAAGAGATCCCAGGCTCAGCTCGTGTGCAGTGGCTGTGGCGGCGGCAGCGGCGGAGCTCAGCACTATGTTACAGGGGATGACTTGTTAAGTAACGGAGGGAGCAATTTACATTTGGAAATGAAGTCTCATACCATTTTGTTGGTACAACCTACCAAGAGACCGGAAGGCCGAACTTATGCTGATTATGAGTCAGTGAATGAAGGCATGGAAGGAGTCTGTAAAATGTATGAAGAGTATCTGAAGAGAATGAATCCCAACAGTCTCTCCATCACCTATGACATCAGTCAGTTGTTTGAGGTCATTGATGATCTGGCAGATCTTAGCTGCCTTGTGTACCAAGCGGACACTCAGACCTACCAGCCCTACAACAAAGATTGGATCAAAGAGAAGATCTGTGTGCTTCTCCGTCGGCAAGCCCAACAAGCCTGCAGATAATCCAAGTGGCAGCTTTGGGGGTGTGGGGGGAGGGCTTGGCAAACAGGCATGTACAGCGTGCTGTAGTGGGAGCTTTGTATTTTAGAAGTCCTGTTTCCATTTTGTCACTATCTAGCCAAGGTTGAATGTATTAGGAGATTTTTGTCTCTTTCAATCTGAAGCCCCTGTCCCTCCCTACTTTCTTTTTCTTTTTTTACTAAGAAGTAGCTGAAAATTTCTCTTTGGTCAGTTAGCACTTGATTACAGTTCTTCCAGCTGTTCATATCTGCTTATAATGTTCACTGTACTTACCCTTCTGTGTGAGGGTTTTTCAGAATTTAGTTATGTCCTCCAAACTCAAAGGCTTAGTAGAGAATACAATAAATGCTCTTTAGTTAAAAAAAAAAAATAAAAAAAAATAAAAGATCCCAAAATAAACACTCCCAGGAATATTATAGCCAAATTACAGAGCACTCATGTCAAGGAGAAAATGTTGCAAAAAGCCAGAAAGAAACAATTCAAATATGATGGAGCCACTTTCAGGATCACACAAGATTTAGCTGCTTTCACATTAAAGGAGTGGAGGGCTTGAAGTATATTCTAGAGGGCAACGGATCTAACATTACAACTAAGAATAACCTACCCAGCAAAATTGAATATAATCTTTCAGGGCAAAAATGGACACAATGAAATAAAGGCCTTCCAAGCATTCTTGATGAAAAGACCAGAGCTCAATAGAAAATTTGTCATTCAAACAGAAGACTCAATAGAAGCTTAAAAATGTGAACACGAAGCTTAAAAAGATAGACATGAAAGTAATCATAAGGGACTCAATGTAGTTAAACTGTTTATATTCCTATGTGAGAAGATGATACATGTAACTCCTAAGAATTTTATTGTTATTAGGGCAATTAGAAGGAGTATGCATAGACAGATGGCATGAGTGTGAGTAGATTACGTTGGGATGATCTCCAAAAAAAAAAAATGTAGGGGTGAGAAAGAGGGATGCGCTAGGAGAAAGGGGAAGGGAGAAATAGAATGGGGAAATTTTTCTCACATAAAGGAAATGTGCATGGAAGAGCTTTTATAGTGGAGAGGAAAATGTGAAGGGTGAGTAATGCTTGAACCTCATTGTCACTGGAATTGGTTGAAAGAGGGAAGAATATATATGCACACTCAGGTGGGTATAGAAATTTATCTTGCCCAATAAAGAAATAGGAGGGGAAGAAGATAAGAGATATGGGGGTGGAGGGGGGATGATAAGGGGAGGGGATTTTGGAGGAGGCAGTGGTCGGAAGCAAGACAGACTTGTAAGGAGGGACAGAATAAAAGGAAAGAGAAAAGGAAAAACAGAGGAAAATGGGATGGAAGGAAATGCAGTTAGTGATCATAACTTGAATATGAATAGGAGCTAACTCATAGACCAGAAGCAAATAGCAGACTAGATTGGTCAGGTAAAGAATATCTACACATGTTCCAAAGTATCTCCACAGTGCTTCCATTATGTGTCAAATAAAGCATCTATTAAACACCTACTATGTGTTAGGCATTGTGCTAAGTGCTAAGGATACAAAGAAAGGTAAAAATACTCCCTTCTCGAGCTTCTTGAGAAGCTCACAGTCTAATGAGGGAGACAACTTTCCTGGAAGTAGGCTCCCCAGCCTCCTCCACATCAAAAATAGCAATAGAGATACTCTGAATAAAAGCCAGTCACCCATTATGCTAATGAAACATAGCGTGAGTGTATGCTATCATCATTGAGCATCTTTGAAGGCAGAGAAGTAGTTGGTGGTATTCTGGAAGAAAAAAAGGCAATGAATTTTATTGGGGTATTGATCTAAAACCTTTCGTGTTTTATAAAGTTTTAGGATGTCACTGTAGTTTTATATATACATGCATACATACATACATACATATATTCCTACAAGGCATAGGAAGAAATAGGCAGAAATTTGTAATCTCATCAACACACAAAAAATAGTTTATTGAAACCTTCAAATATACAATATTAGAAATACCACTGTTGGGGCAGCTAGGTGGTGCAATGGATAGAGCACTGACCCTGGAGTCAGGAGTACCTGAGTTCAAATCCGGCCTCAGACACATAACAATCACTAGCTGTGTGACCCTGAGCAAGTCACTTAACTCCATTGCCTAGCCCCCCCCCAAAAAAATACCACTGTTTAGGCTATTAAAGAATTAATCAATACATTTTATTTGGAAAATATGTGTATGCAGTTGCCAACACAATTTGTCTCCAAAGCCATTATTATTTGAATTTATAGGGAGAAGAAACTGAGGCACAGAAAAGGTTAGAATTTTAATCAGGAGTGCATATATCCATATGCCACAGTTCTTTTAACCATTCTTCAAAAAGTATATACTTGCCATCTCTCACCTCTGCATTAGTTTCTAGATTTTACAAAAAGAACGGATATGATTATTTTTGTAGATAGGGATCCTTTTCCTCTGTCTTTGATCTCTTTGAGGTATAGGCCTAGTAGTGATAATACTGTATTAAAAGATACACATAGTTAAGTGACTTTAGAGGCATAATTTCAGATTGTTTTAAGGATGACTGTACCAATTCATAGTTCTACCAAGAGGACATTGGTGCATCTATTTTCCCGTAGTCCTCCAATATCTGTCATTTTGCTTTTTTCTTATCTTTGTTAATCAGATAGTTATTGGGTAGAACCCCAGAATTTTAATTTTTACTTCTCTAATTATTAGTGATGTGAAGCTCTTTTTCATGTGGCTACTAATAGCTTTAATTTCTTCTTTTGAAATCTGTCTTTGACCATTTATCTATAGTGGAATAGGGCTTGTGATTATAAATTTGAATCAATTTCTTAATATACCTTGTGCTGCAAAGGTATTTTCCCCCTTAGGACTGTTTAGCTCCTAATTTTAACTGCAACATATGTGTATGCATAAAAAACTTTTACATTTTATATAACCAAAATTGTTTATTTTATTTTTGGCTATTTTCCCTGTCCTTGCTTGGTCTTTAACTCTTCCTATTTCCATAGATATGAAAGGTAATTTCATTTTTTTATTCCTCTGCTTTGCTTATAATGTTACTTTTTATGTCTAACTCATATCCATTTGGAGTTTATCTTGGTATATGGTGTGAGATATTGACTTGTACCTAGTTTCTGCCAGACTCTTTTCCAAATTTCCCAGCAGTTTTTGTCAAATAGTGATATCCTTCCCCTGTAACTGGGGTCTTTGGGCTTATCAAACATTATGCTATTATTTGCTTCTGTATCTTATGTGTCTAATCTGTTCTGCTGATTGACCTTACTTCTTAACCAGTACACAATCATTTTGATGATTACAACTTTGTAGTATAATTTGAGATCTAGTCTGTTGGGGTCCTTTTTTTCCTTTTTTTTTTTTTGCTGTCCCCCTTGAAATTCTTAACCTTTGTTCTCCAGATGAAATTTGTTATTCTTCCTTCTAGATCTACAAAATGATATTTTAGTAGTT